AATCACACAAGAGATAATAATTTAATATGGTTCGGTCTAATTGACCTATTTCCACGAATGAGAAACAAGATCTATTAGTTGTAAAGAATTATGAACATACATCAAAATATATCAATAATTCAATAATCAATACCCATAGACCTTCTTAATCTCTTTTAGTTTTATGAAGTATTCTCAATTCAAACAAACACATACCCATGTGTACCTTCTCAATACAACTAAACACATATCCATATACACTCATATATTATACTTATGTGGACTCTTTCAGTCGCTTTTAATCTACTCATAAGCACCATACAAACATACACACCCATAAGATGAAAACTTCAATAGTCTTATGAGGTGTCTATCTCACAAAATCCTATAACTCTCTTATATTTTTTTCATACATAATCCTATAGAGACTTCACGTATTTATAACCATACAAACTTGTCTATTAAGAATCTCTTTTCTTTTAGAATTCTTCTTCTACAAGTCAAACTTGCTATTAAAATCTCCTTTCTCTTAGAATTCTTCTTTTGCAAGTCTTCTTATCTATTAAGTAATATCTAACAAATTTCAAACAAATCTCTAATAAATCCTAAACAAATTTCTTATGGGATTTGAGTAATTATTTCTAACAATTTTTACCTTCACTCAAATTTCATCAATCGCTTGTTTTCATGCTAGATATGTTTGGCTCCATTTGTAATAGATATCTTACAATCATATTCTTTTGTATGTCTTTATGTTTCATGAAAACTAATCCTCAATCCTGAAAATATGAACTCAAACTCTTTTTTTAAATTGAGCTATTTTAATCTTGCCTCTTCGCATGACTCTTACCATCAGCTTTTCTCACGTATCGAACTTTTAACTCTGATATCACTTGTTAGGGATCCCCATATCTCTGATACCACTTGTTAAGAATTTATTATAACTCTGATACCACTTGTTAGGTCAAAAAAAGCCTCAATCCAATCAATCCAACATAAGAGAATCAAACAATTAATCAATCATCCAAGAGACAATAATTTAATGTGGTTTGATCTAACTGACCTACGTTCACTAATGAAAAAGAAGATCCACTAATTGTAAAGAATTACAAACATACATCAAAACATATCAACTACTCAATAATCAATACCCATAGACCTTTTCAATCTCCTCTAATCTTATGAAGTATTCTCAATCCAAACAAACATATACCCATGTGCACTCTCTTAAAACAACCAAACATATACCCATATACACTTATACATCATACTTATGTAGACCCTCTCAATCTCTTACAATGGAAGTCTACATTGCTTATACCACCACAATTGCTTTTTTTTCTCAACTTTCTTACATTTTTCTCCTTCTTCAATCCACTTAAAATTCTACGTAAGCTGAAGCGCCAACACTAACCCCTTTGAGAAGCACCTCTAATTGTTGTTATTTTAGTGCTATTGTGATTTTTTTTCTTTTTGCTTAGTTGATTTAGTGGTTTATATTATGTGTTTTTGGTTGTGGATATCTATTTTGGCTATTTGTGGTTGATTATTAGGCTATTTGTGAGGTTAAAAGTGATGGGTTATGGCGGTGCCAAATGGAAGTGGCTATAGGTAATGGTATTAGTGCCAAATTGGTGGTGGGAGAGGTAATCAGCTTTATAGTGCTTATTGGGGTTATGGGTTTGGGTGGTTTTTAGTTGAAGGTTGGAAAGGAGTCGAAGGGCGTTGGAGGTGGTTGGTTTGTAAAATGGTGTATCTGATGGCTAAGGGAAACCTCATGGATCAAGGGGAAGTTTTGGCTATGAGTAAGGAAATGGGTATATTTTTTTTTTTGCTTTCGAAAAAATACCCCATTATTATGTGAATCCCCATGCTATGTGTTTTTGAGCTCTTTTTTAATCACATGGGACATAGGAATTGAATGTTTTAACAAAATTTTAATAGCAAACTGCTGCATCTGGGATGATGTACTTGTTGGTTTTAGGATAGTGGGAAAGTAAAGGGTTTAAGCTAGGGCTATTGACTTTTGGTGAAGTCTTTAACCAGTTGATACTTGAGGTGAATAGGTAAAATGAGATGAGAAAATCAGAGAGCTAGAAAAGGAAAATTTGGAATTAGAGATGAAGGGAAGAGAGTTTGGCATTTGGGGAAGACAGGTTGACATGACAATTGACTTTTTCCTTCATTTTTTGTAAATTTTCTTTCTTTTTTGAAAAATTAATTTAAATAATTTAAATAAAAATAAAATTAGATTATAAAAATTAATTTGGGCTCAAAAAATTGATTTGGATTTTTATTGGGTTTTCAAGCCCAAATGACTCAAAATTAAATTGGATTAGGCCTCGAACCCATGCAAAATAATCCAAAATTAATTAGTTTAAAATGATGCCAAAATGAGCCCAAATGAGATCAATCAAATAAATTCAATTAAAATATTTGAGTTAGTCCAAGTTGAAACGTGCAAATTATGAAAAAAATCAAAAAAATTTGAATTGATTAAGACAAAATTATATATCTATAGCAGTAAATTAGTATAGTGATAATTTAATAATAAATTAATGATAATTTAAAAGTTAATAATTGATAATTTTTTAATAAATCAATAATAATATAATAATAATTGCATAATACTTTAATGATAAATCAATTATAATAGTTGTAAATGCATAACAATATAATATTGAATTAAAGATAAATTAATAAAAAAAATGATAACTTAGTAGTTAATTATTGATAATTTAGTAGGAAAGTAATGATAATTTAATAGTAAATTAGTAATAATTTAATAGTAAATTATTTTTAGTTTAATAGTAATTAATTGATAATAGTAAATTACAAAAAAACTTAGTAGTAAATTAATGATAAATTAGTAGTAAATAATTAATAATTTAGTAATTAACTTTTGAAAACTTAAAAGTAAATCGGTCTAACTTAGTAATAAATTATCAATAACATAATTGTTAATCATTGATAGCTTAATAGTAAATTATATATAATTTAATAAAATTAGTAATAACTTGATAGTAAATTATATATAATTTAATGATATACCGGTATTAATTTTGTAGTAACTAATTGAAAATTATGTAGTAAATAAATGACAACATAATAGTAAATATATAAAAATATAATAGTAAATCACTAATAATTTAGTAGTAAATTGATAACTTAGTAATAAATTACTAATAATATAATAGTAAATTATTAATAATTTAGTTGTGAATAGCGATAATTTAGTAATAAATTAGTTAATTATTGATATTTTTTAGTAAATCATTAGTAAATTAATAATAAATCAATTATAATTTTATAATAAATCATCAATAACTTAGTAGTAAATCACCACCAATTTAATAAAAACTATTCATAACTTAGTAGTGAATCATTTATAAATTAATAATAAATCAATGCTAATTTAGTAATAAATCATTACTAATTTAGTGATGCATCATTAATATTTTAGTAGTAAATCGCTTAAAATAAAATAGTAAACTAATAATAATTTAATTATCAACCACTGATAAATAATTTTATATTCGAAATTATTAAGAATTGAATTTTGGTTATTAACATAAATAAAGCTAGAAATTTCATCTTAGTAGACGAGGATAAACCTACCAAAAATCTATTCAATAATAAAATTTAATAAAAGAAATTCTAAATTTGAATAAAATAATAATGCTATTATAGAAAAGGAAAATTATCTTCTACTAAAACTAAACTTGTGCCTTTTTATTAGAATTTATTGTTAAATATATGATGACACAAATTATTAATAATTATAAAAAATATATCATAAGTTACTAGGTTATTAAAATCATATCAATAGATTACTAAAATTTTATAAAAAATTACTAAAATTGTATTAATGGTTATCAAAACTCTATAATAAGTTATCAAATTAATAATGAAGGTTACTAAAATTTAAAAATTGCACCGAATGTTATTAAGATTTTATCAAAAGTTATAAAAATTAAAATTATGTCAATAGTTATTAAAATTTATTTATATTATACCAAACCAAAATTAAATGATTAGGATTTATTACTGTTATTATAGTATAAAAATGATTTATTGAAATAAATTTTTAAAAATAATAATTATCCGTGTCTCACGCACAGATAAAAATTAATATATATATATATATATAATTTCTATAATGCGCAAAATGATATAAAACCCATTTAAATTTATGATAAACGAAACCTGAAACAGTTAGAATATAAAATGAATCGAACCCGAAATGATTTGAATCTAAATTACTAAAACGATCCAAATTCTAAAACATCCAATCGCAAGACGATTCAAACCCAAAAATAACCCAACACTGAACCTGCTGACAGCCTATCCGAATCCACCCGAGCCGGACAAATCGATACCTCTCTATAAAGGGCTTATGTGATAGAAATGGAACAATATAAGCTTCTGTACAATGAGGATTAGTTAGGCTGTGGCATAGTAAATGATCCAAGCAAAAACTTAGTGAACCTTTTTGAACAACTTCAGCTAAAATATTACTTAAAAGAAATGAACAGAGGCAAAAATATATTTTGTAACAAGTGATACAAATAAAAGCAAATCAAATGGTCCAGTACTTTTTGTTTAAACCTATGATCCTAAGTAAATAATGTGCCCTTTTCCTTCTTTCTTTGAGTAATGATCTGGGGATGGTGATTACTTATGAAGACACGGAAAAGACTGGCAAACCACAAAGGAACAACAAAAGATAGCATAATTTAAGCTGCCCTCAAATTAAAAAGACACAGATTCAATCTTCTGCTAGATTGAATTACAAAGCACCCGTTGAAAAAATTAACAATCAATTACATAATATAAATAAAATCAAGTTGGTTAATAAGTTGGTAAGTAATGTAGAAAGGTTTCTCCCTGCGGGACAAAACCTGCCAATAACGCATTGAATGAGTCAGCTTCTTTGTTTCGTGGTGTGTTTGTTTAATCTTACCAACTTTGATGCATCAGTTTTGGTTTGTTCAATTATTTGTTTGACTGGAACAAATATAATGGGGTTGGGATCTTTTGTCACAGATTCAGTGCCATTGTTCAGCAGGACTGAAAAGAGTGAAAAGAATGGACCAGGCTCTGCTTCCAAAGAAAGAATGGAGGATATGGGAGATAATAACCCGGGAAACCTTACTACAAGAGCTCAAGAAGGTGAGCTTGGTAGCAGCACCGTTTGTGGCGGTGGCATTGTCACAGTACCTTTTGCAGGTTGTATCTGTGAAGATGGCTGGACACCCTGGTGAGCCCGCGCTGTCTGGTGTTGCTGTTGCCACCTCTTTCTGCAGTGTCACTGGCTTTAGTTCCCTTGTAAAGTTCTCTTACCTTTGACTTCTCCATAACATATATATTAGGTTAATGCATCATGTTCATTACCATCCTCATATTGATTCTCAAAACAGAACCAAGTTAGATCCATTGTTCTATGTAGAGTGAAGTAATTACAATTTGAAATTTTTACATGGCTGCATAACATGATGGTTGACAGCTACTATTTACGACTAACAGTGGGGACTTTGTGGTGCACTGGACAGTCTAAATGGACAAGCCTATGGAGCAAAGCAATATCATAAGATAGGAAGCTGCACTTATTGTGCGTTGATCTCTACCCTTCACTTTGTCTCCGTGTGCCTCGTTTGGATGTACACGGATAAAATCTTAGTGCTGGTAGGCCAAGACGCTCACGTGGCAGTGATAGCTTGTAGATACTCAATGTGGCTTATAGCTTCACTATCTGCCTACGCCATTCTTCAATCACAAGTTCGTTTCTTACAATCTCAGAGTTTGGTTCTTCCAATTTTTTTCATCTCGCTTGCAACTCTGTGTTTCCATGTACCCGTTTGTTGGGTTTTGGTATTTAAATCCGGATTAGGAAATACAGGAGCAGCGTTGGCTATCAGTTTCTCTTATTGGTTAAACGTAATCTTGCTCGGATTTTACATGAGATACTCATCTTCATGTGAGAGAACCCGCATTCCATACTTGAAGGATGTTTTTCCGATTGTCAAGAAGTTTTTTCAATTCGCTATTCCTTCTGATGTAATGGCTTGGTAACTCAATATTTCCTTGTAATAAGAACATCATGATCCTTTGTGCTTCTCCATTGCAAAATGTCTGGTTTATTCCTATACAAATGCAGCCTTGAATGGTGGTCTTTTGAGATTATTGTATTAATATCTGGTCTGCTGCCAAATTCCGAGTTCGAACTTCTGTTCTTTCGACTAGGTAGGGTTGAAGTTTGATCTGCAAATATTATGAAGTCTGTGGATCTCTGTACTTGCAATTCTAATTAGATCCTATTGTGTCAATTAATCCGCAGCCTTTCAAGCTCCTCATTGCATTACAACATACCATTTGGGATCAGTGTAGCTGCGAGGTTTGATCTACGCCTTTTCTGTTAGTTCACTTACTCTAAATAAATGATATATATCTCTCCTACTACATATGCATACTTTATAAATGTTTTACTTGAGAATGAAGATGGACAAATTGGAAAAACAGAAATGGGACAAGAAAACTGCTTGTAAATAGTATTATTTCAATGCATTGATTGGTAGCATTGAAAAATTTTAAAAAGAAAAAACCAATGTAATTTCTGCACCAAAAGGCAAAAGTATGAATAAAATTCATCTGCTTTCTTATTTTCTCCTCACTTTTCTGTCTTACCAAGTGAAGTTTTTGTAACATTGATGCACTGAAATTTCTCCATTCTGTCTCCGATCTTACAGTACACGAATTTCAAATGAATTAGAGCTAAAAATCCACAGGCAGCCCAAATAACTACCTTCATTGCAGTGGTTCTTACACTTGTTGAAACAGTCATCGCAAGCATGACACTTTTCTGTTGCCGCCATGTCTTCGCATATGCTTACAGCAATGAAAAGGATGTTGTAACTAAAGTCACACAAATACTTCCTCTAGTGTTCCTCTCACTGACTATGGATGGTTTACATGCAGTAGCTTGCTCACAGTTGCCAAACAATTTTGTTCATGAACTTGCATAATTTACAGTTACTTGGTTAATTGAAGCTAAAATATTGAAGAAATACTACATGATGATGAAACTGCTTCTCTAATAATAATACTAATTTGATATTTGACCCAGGAATTGTCAGAGGAATTGGCTGGCAACATATTGGAGCTTATGCCAATCTTACGGCATGTTATCTCTTTGGAATTCCAGCAGGGGTTTTATGTGGGCTTATTATGCATTTAAGAGGACAAGGCCTATGGGTTGGAATGTTGACACGGTCTAGTGTTCAAGGGATTCTTCTTGCTCTTGTGATTGCTTTTACAAATTGGAAGAAGCAGGTTCTTTCTTTGAAGCATTTGATTCCAAGAAAATATTTCTATTGGTAAGAAGTGAGTTATTCTTAGGCCTGGTTACTTGATTTAAATGTATATATGGTTATGCAGGCAATGAAGGCAAGGGAGAGAATATTTCAGGGAACATCTGCAGGTGAGAATGGGTTGTTCCGAAAAAGCTACAAACTAGATTGGGGCTGAGAGAGCTGTGCTCTGAGGGACAAATGCGCCAGTGCCATCCAAGCAATTCCATGTCATTATTCCTGGGGCAACCATTTCTGCTATTTTTCTGATAAAATCTAAGCTAACCATCCTGGCGCTGGAATGCAACTAAAAAGCACTCATACTTAATCCATTTTCCCCAGTCTCAATTCTCATCAATGAATTCACATTTTATCTGCCTTTTATTATATTTTATTTTTACCCCATGAAATATATTTTCTGCTAGATTCATATCCTGAAACAGGGTAAAGCAAAATTAAGAAGACCATATGAATTAAGAAGCTAAACTCGTCTTCTGGGATTGAAATGTTCTCTAAACTTGTAGCAAAAACAGCTTGCAAAAACATAAAAGAATGAAGAAAATTTTCAAATATCTTAAGAGGCTAATTTTAACTAAGCTCTGCTGACATCTGAAATAAAAGAAAGAAAAATTATTAGGTAAAGTCCAATGCAAAGAAATTCAAATTCGGCATTTTAATGTTGATTTAAATAAATAGAATAGTGTGTTCTATACGAAAACACCAATTCAACACAACCACTACAATAATCAAACTTGCTTATTGACACACTCAAAGAATCATCAAACATCAATTCAACAAAATGATGAGCTTTCAATTATTCTAAGTATCCTCCGTTCAAGCCTTTCACCTCATCTGTACAACAAACATAGTCCTATTTCATTATAAAGATGCCCATCTGATGCATTCAAAACAGTTGCACCCGGTCAATTGGCATACAAAATTGAAAACTTTTTAGTAAAAACAAATTTATCAGAGTCCTGGATCAGAAGTTGCTGCAGAAACAAAATATCACTAAAAGCAAAATAATATTTCTAAACTAGAGCTGGTTGAAAACCATTTGATTATCAGAGTCCTGAGCCAGGATAACAAGTTGCTGAGTTTGGGACCAGAGTACTTCACTCTCAGAAAGGGAAATTTTTCTACAACATGCTGACTTGTTTTCAACTTTCACTTATTTCATGCTAGAAACAAAGAAATTAAGGCCTTAAAATTTGTTGCAAAATGAGCTTGCAAGAACCAAATGAATGAAGAAAAGTTCCAAATATCTTAAAGGCTAAATTGAACTAAATTCTACTAATATCAGAAATAAAAGATAGAGAAGAATCATGAGGTTAAGGCCAATGTAAAGAAATTCACATTGAAGCACACAGAATTCAACTTTGAATAGAATATAAACAGTAATGTGTTTTTATAGAACAAGTGAACAACACCAATTGAACACAATCACAAATCCATATGAAATCAAATTTGCTTATTGACACGCTAAAATGATTGTTCAATCATCAAAGACCAATCCAATATCACATGCAGAAAGATATTAAAATATAACAAGTTAAAGTAGATGCAAGGTACACTGCCCAGACAATGTTGAACCTCATATCACAGCATTGATGCACGGCTCTGGCACTAAACAACTTTGCAACATTCATCTCTCATCAGGTTTGTTCCTTGTTATTCATGAACCCGACTGAGCTTTTAAAATTTCCTTGAGAGGCCACACGTCCAATCACGATTCCTGGAGCTGTATTTAGACAATCATCAAATCTTAAATTCATCAAATCAAAACAATATCAAGAGTGAAAGGGTAGATGCACATGAAGAAGGATCACTTCTTTTTTTGGCTGTCAATGACCATGGCATTCTAACATACATGTAGCAAACATTTAAGTAACAGACTTGAATCAATGATTCTTCAGCTATCATGTATTTCCGTAGAAATGCAATACCCTAAAACGTGTAGGATAGAACATCTAAACATGTTTTTGTCTCAATCTTGTATCTTATAAAAAATTTGACCTATCTCATTTAAAAAAATCACTTTGTATTGAATTGGGATGAATAAAAATTTGTTAAATACAAATTATTTTGGTATTTTGATTAAAATATTTTTATTGCAAAAATTATCTAATTAAAAAAAACGAAATAAAAAAAAAATCAAATGAAGGTATTACATGGAAATCTCCGTTGGCCTCTTTTTATAAAAAATTAAATTTAAAAATATTTAAAAAATTGCAAAAAAAAAAGAAAAGGAAGTTTATTAGGGTATTTGAGGACTTTACAATTAATTTTAAAATATATATTTTTTAAAATTCAGGCATTAAATAATAACTTAATTAATTAAAAAAATAATAAAAGAAATAACAACAAAAAGCAAAAAGAAACATTAAGAAAAAAAAGACAAGATAATCAATCTACCATGTCGACATTAAATTTGAATTTAAAATGTTAATATATTAAATTAAAATAAAAAATTATTTATATAATATATTATATAAATATAAAATTAAATAAATAATAAAATATATATTTTTATATATATCATCGGGTAACTTGGGACAAAGGTTATAAATCCGCTTTAGATGTAACCCTTTTTTTTTTTAATAAAAAAGCAACCTGATGTGACTCAATATCATTTTTTTACAAAAATAATCATTGAATCGAGACAAATAAATAATTATTATTTTGTCATTTTTATTGACCGACTAATCTTATCGTAAAATTCATCTAATTAATAAATATAAAATACAAAAAAATATAAAAAAAAAAAACAAATGAGGTATTACATAGACATCTTTAATATTTATGTAAAAAGTAAATAAGAAAAAGCAAAATAACAAATAAAAATAAAAAGAGAAAAAAACTGTCTTTAATTAAATCTAGTCGAATTGAAACTCATTAAATATAAATTATCTTGTCATTACTATTTATTGACCTTTTTATTATAAAATTTATGTAATTAAAAAAAAATCCAAATTTGCGGACATTTTCTTTAGATTTTTTAACAAATTTATTTAAATTTTAAAATAAAATAAAATAAAATGTCACGTCAACATCTTGAAGATCTTTAACCTCTCTACGACTCAACAATGATTTTAAAAAAAAAATCAGTCCTATTTCAAAATTTTTAAAAATTGACACATATTAAATCAAACTAAATAAAAACTCATAAAATATGAGTTATTTTGTCATATGATATATATTATTTTTCTCACAAAATTTATTTAATTTAAAAAAGTCAAATTTCTTAAATATAAAAAAAATGACAAGAAAAAAAAAGAAGCCAAATAGCTATCTTATGTAAATCTATTAAATTAAGGTATCAAATAATAATATAATACACATATAAATATAAAATTAAATAAATAATAAAAACATATATTTATATGTTCTTGGACAGAATTTGATATGATCTCGATTTTTTCAAAAACTCGACCTAATCCCAAATTAAAAAGAATGTAGATATTAGATTTAGACGAATCAAAACCAATTAGATATTGGTTGTTTTGTTGTAATACCTTTATCATATTTTTTTTCAACAAATTATTTATTAGTTTCTTTGGTGCAAATATTATCTAATTAAAAAAATAAAAACAAAAAAAGAATAAGGAAAAAATAAAATGAAATGTCACATGTACATATTCGTTAAATTTAAAAAAAATCTAATTAAAAAAAAACTAAAAAAAAAAGGAAAAAAATGAAAGAAAAATTAAAAAATAAAAGTAAAAAATAAAAAAATTTGAATTGCCACAAGACGTTAGAAATAATAAGTTTTTTTTTTGAAAAATTTATATCATGAATTTAAAAAATAAAAACTAAAAAAAATTAAAAAAATCAAATCCAAATACCTTTGTTAATGTCTTTTTCATTAAAAATTATCAAATTAAAAAAATAACGAAAAAAAAATATTTTTTAAACAATAACATCAAATGTGGCTCATATTCAAGAAATTTTAAATTTTTAAAAAGATATTTATTAAATAATTTAAAAAGAAAAAAATAAAAAGTAAAATAAATCAAATGATTTAACATGCATCATATTTTCAATAAAAAGTGCGTTTTAAAAAAAAAATTAAAATCTAAAAAATTATTTTTTAAATAATAAAAATAGAATATCAAGAGTTAAAAAAAAAAACGTGTATACCCCTTTATATCAATTCGTTTTCACACAAAATAAATAAAATTTGAAAAATATTTATTAAATATTAAAAAAACAAAAACAAAAAAATTAATATAAGTAAATCTTACGCATAAATTAAATTTGTAAAAAATATATATTTTTATAATTTAAAAATTTATTAAATATCTAAAAAAGGTAAAACAAAAAACAAAAAACCGACTTGCAGAAGTGTTCATTTCCGTACAATATGCAAAATTTATAAATTAGATCTCCATATGATAGAAAAATTTATATACTAGATTAGATACCCAAGAAAAAAGAAGATAAAACAACACAGAAAAGGCCGAAACGAAATTCCATTAGTAGATTCTCTTATTATAATTTTAGAAAATAAGAAATGACATCAACCCGTACACAATTGTTACTGTAATTATGAAATTAGAAACTCCTCTTTTAATTTGGTGTGCTAAGGACCCCAACCCACCACCAAAAATACCCATTCGATGAGATAATTAAAATTTCTTAACAGAAGCCAAATTAAAAAGTAGAAAGTCACCTTGTTATTTCTTCACCAGACTCGATCACAATGGACGGAATGTGGGCTATGTTGGGCCAATCCTCTCCTCTCTCTTGCTTACACCGCTTTTCCAGATGTGGGCATCCTTCAATCCGCAACGTTTTCAGTGCCGTGAGGCTCCGCATCCCTTGGGGCAAAGACATCAAATTGGAGCAATAGCCGATCTCCAATTCTGAAAGCAAGGCGAGGTGTTGTATCTCATTTGGCAGAGAAATTAATCCCTCACAATACCAAATCCTAAGAGATCGAAGAGAAGAGAGATGTTGGATACTTTCTGGCAATGAGGTTAACTCTGGACATACACTGATATGCATGTCTTGGAGTGAAATCAGATATCGCATACCCCCAGATAAAGAGGCTAATTTCTTACAATTTTGAACCCACAGTGAAGAAAGGGAGGATAAGCCATGCAATCCATTTACCGAAAGGGCTACAAGGCTATCACATTGATTTAATCTCAAAGTTTCCAAAGAGCTAAGGCTTTGTAGTCCTGCTGGCAAGCTTTCAAGTTTCGAGCCGCAATCAAGTTGCAAGTGTTTAAGAGCCGATAGGTTATCCAACTGATTTGATAAAGACTTTAGATTACTTGAAGAAATCCACAACCTATCAAGGTGCTTCTGATTTTGCAATAGTCCATCAGGTAAATCCGTTAACTCATGGAAGAAACCAATTCTGAGAGAGGTAAGACAAGTGGCATTCATTATCACAGACCTGAGTAAAGTAACACTAGTTTCTTCAATGTCTAGATGTTTTACGGATTGAACCATTTGCAGTTTAACCAATTTGGGACAATAACTGATTCTTAATGAACTTAGGAGAGGAAAATTGTCTCTCCCATTAATTGTTGCCCATTCCTCCAAGCATTGTGCATGACATATTTCGAGCTTCTCGAGTGATGGAAAAGAACTCTCCCCATCCCCATAGAAGTTGCTGTCAATAGACTTCAGAGCATCCATTCCACAAATACGAAGTTCCTTGAGGAAGCGTAATTTCCCAAGAGGTGGAAGTTGGTCGCATCTTTCACATTTCTGTAGTGAGATTTCAACTAGGTTTGGTAGAAGCAGATCCATCATCCAATATGGAAACCTCAAACCTTGGTAATCAGTTATGCATAACTTTTTCAAGCTTGAATGAGGTTGGAGACCATTCAGAATCTCTTCAGCATTTTCATGTTGAGAGTTCTCCTTATCGTTTGCTTGCCAAGATAAGCTTAATGATCTCAAATTTGGCTTTTTTATCAAATTGGCACTTTTAGCTTCTGCTGAACTTTTGACATTGTAAAGTGCTTTGATGCTCAATTCCCCCTCAAGGGCCAATTCTTTTAACTCGTCAATACCAAGACCCTTGTCCATTCCCACAATAAAGATGTCTAGCTTGCGCAAGCATGACAAATTTGACAATCCAACAGGCATACAAGTAAGTTGGTCGCAACCAGTGATGTACAGGTATCGAAGATTTTTCAAGTTCTTCATTCCTTTCGGTAACATCCGAAGTCTATGACAATGCCTGATTTTTAGTGTCTGCAAGTTATAAAGGCCACTTGTTGATTCAGGTAGAATTTCGATGCCATACCATGAAAGGTTTAGATACCTTAGATGTTTCAAAAGATAATCATCTACAATATCCTCAAAATGACCCCATAAATCCAACACCTTCAGATACTTTTGATTAGAGAGCTTAATGCCAGACCTGAACTCAGTGCGTAGGATCAAGGAACGCAATGGTTGCAACTTGGGTACTTCCACAATGGTTGAGGATGAACTACTATAAACAAACAAGTGACGAGCAGTTTTTGGTATTTTCAACATCTCATTGGGCTCAATAACACAGCACTCATGTCTCATAATCGATGTTGCAACATCATGAATGAGATCATGCATTTTACACATGACATTTCCATAAATATCCTCTTTCGTTTCTTGGAAAAAGGACCTCCAGGATAATTCATCGAAGATTTCACAACCCATTTCGTGCAAATCCATTGGTCCTCTGGAAGGAATAAATCCATTTGCCATCCATAATTCTATCAGCTCCTGCTTGCTCATGACATGATCTTTAGGAAATATAGAGCAAAATGAAAAGCATTGCCTCAAATAAGGTGGTAGATGTTCATAACTTAACCTCAAAACAGCTAAGATTCTGCTTCCCTCATCTTCCAAATCCCATATCTCGCTATCTCTGACATTTAACCACTCACTTTCCTGACTTTTTAAATGCATTATGCTTCCGATGGCCTTAAGTGCCAGCGGCACGCCTCCGCATTTCTTCACTATTTGCCTCCCAATTGTTTCCAAGTGCACATTATCCTCATTCCTTCCCATCCCAAATGCTCGTTCCTTGAATAAGGACCAAGAATCATCATCTGACAAACATCCCAAGCGGCAAACAGGATTAACTGTTGCCATCATAAGAGCAACTTTCTCAATACGAGTAGTGACAATAACTGTACTTCCTTTCACTCCACGTCGTAGTGCTTGCTTCAGTCCATCCCACTTGTCATGGTATTCATTCCACACATCATCTAGTACGAGCAAAAATCGTTTCCCAACGAGCTTTTCTTCTAAGCGACGTTGCAGAGGATCTAGCTCTTGGATATTACATGAGTTCCCTTCAATTGATTCCACAATGGCTTTAGTCAACCTTTTTATATCAAAATCATCAGATACACATACCCAAACTCTCAAATCAAAAGCTTTTCTCACGTTTTCATCATTGTAGACCAATTGAGCAATTGTTGTCTTTCCAAGACCTCCCATTCCGCAGATTGCGTAAACAGAGAGATCATCATGGTGACTTAAATTGTTCAGTAACAGACTAACTATCTGTTCCTTCTCATTTGCTCTGCCATATACTTCTGATTCTATCACAAGGGAGCTTGTTTGTCTCTCCTCTCTACGTTGAATTTCTACTTCCCCCAGCCCCTCTCTCAAGTGGAACTTGTTTTTCTCCCCCGCAATGGCATCTAATTTTTCCCTTACAGTCTTAAATTTACGTGCCATATTTAAGCGAAACAAAAGTGGATTCTGAAGGGAAAAGAAAGTGCTTACTTGGCTTATTGCATCCTTAAGCAGGCTACGTCTTAGAGCTTCTGTTTTGAACTCATCTAGTACCTCTTCCACACTATAAGCCGTATCTTTGAGCTTTCCAAGCCAATTCCTGATAGCTTCACTCTTACACTGCCTCACCTCTGCATCTTGAAGAACAGCTTGGATTGTAGTTAAAGTACTCTCCAGATTCTCGAACTCTTTTTTGAAAGCCCCAGCAAGTCCGATCTTCTCCATGGACAAGGACTTTAAGTTGTCCAATATGGCAGTGACAAGGGCTGAAAGAAGTGCGTCTGCCATGTTCACTCTCTCCAAAAATTTGATATCAGCAAAGCAACAAATGAAAAGGGAAAAAAGGATGAAGAAATAACCAGATTTTCGCAAGTAAAGAAATAATTGGATCTCTATTCAGAATAATCAAAGAAAAGAAACAATGTCAAATTTTGGATTAGAATTGAATGATAAAATAAAAAGATGGTCCACACGGTGTTGACTTGACTTTCAAAATGGAAGCCATATGCATATCTTTATCTTACTGTTCTCGCAACCAATTATGTGGAAAAGAAAAGCTTTGGAGTCGCGCACGAAATACATTGGCAATTACTTTTTTCTTCTCTTGTTTTAACTTTTTGCTAAAGTGGTCCTCGATTTTTAGGAAATTTATTGGAATTACATTAGCATCTTGCTGCATGATTTTTTTAAATTATATTTTAAAAATATAAAAATAAAATTTTTATATTAAATTTTAATGAATGATAATATATATAAAGATAAATATTTTTATTTTTATTAATATAAAAATATAAAAATATAAATATATATATTAAATAAATAATTAAATATATTTTTTTATATATCGAGAGTGAGTTGGAGCACCCCAAACCCAATGGCAATTTTACCCAAATTATTTAAATATACAAAATTTAAGCCAATTTTTATTTAAAAAAATTACATTAATTAGATCACATTAAATTAAAATTTATTGGATATAAATTATTTTTTTATCTTTATATTTATTATCTTTTTTTATAAAATTTACCTACTAAATAAAAATTTTAAAAATACAAAAAAAATCAAATATGACATGTAAATTTATTAAATTAAAATATTAAATAATATTTTTAATAAATATATATATAAATATAAAATTAAATAAATAACATACAATTTTATATATAGAAAGACCAAGCCGTAACATCAAAACTTTGCTCTTATTTGAGTTTAATTTAAAAAAAAAAAAACTCAACCCAAATTATTCTGAATCGAAAGAAAACATTAATATTTAATAAGGATGAATCAAATTCATGATATATGAATTATTTTATTATTTTTATCTCAATTAATTATTTTATTAAAAAATTTAACTAATAAAAAATAAAAAAATTTTAAAAAACAAAAAGAAAAACAAAAAAGAGTGCAACGTCACACCCGAAATGAGGTACCTTAAATTAATTTCTAATCTATTTTTAATTAAAAAAAACTTAATCCAATTTTTTTAAGAAAACATACTTATATTTGATTGTTATAAATTAAAATTAATTGAATATGAATTATTTTATATTTTTTATATTGATTTTTTTTTTTATAAAATTTATCTAATAATGATGAGTAAATATCCAAAATTTGGCAAGTAAAGAAAGAATGATGGATTCATAATCAAAAAGTAAAAAAAAAAAAATGTCAAATTTTGGATTAGTATTAAAAAAATATTTACATGAAATTCTATAGGTAAAATTCATTAAGTTTTTTATTAGAAATAAGTAAATAAAAATTAAAATCAAAATTAAAATCGATAAATTAAAATAACTCATCAATAAATCAAATATAAAAAATTTGAAAAGATTTTAATAAATTTTGATATATTTATTAAATGAATATTTTTAATAAAAATATTAATAAAATTTTTATCATTAAATAAATATCGATAAATTTAAATTAAAATAATAATTTTAATGATTTTTTATTATTATTGGATTTTACATTAAATTTTATCAATCTAATAATTTAAATTTTTATTAAAATTTTTTTATTCATTTCTTATAAAAAAATTTCATAAATTTTACCTATGAAATTTTACTATGAAATTTTATATAAAATTTTTTTTTTTTGATCTTAATTTTATATAAATTTTATCCTTCATATTATAGTAGAAAATAAACACAGGATCCACACGGTATTGACTTGACTATTCAACTGGAAACCATATGTATATCTTTATCTTACAAGTCACGCAATTAATTATGTCAAAAAGAATAGCTTGAGTCACCCCGAAACGCATTGACAATTACCCTTTTCTTTATTTTTTCCCTTTTGCCGAGCGGTCCTCGATTTTTAGGAACTTCTTAATTTACTTTCTCGCTATATACCCTTTTATACGAAAATATTCTATTCAATATCTATAAATTTATAATTTATTAAAATTAACCCCGTGCTAGTTATGTAATTAGTTTTTATTTTTTAAAATTATATTTTAAAAATAAAAAAGCAAAACTTGTATATCAAATTTTAATAAATGATAATATATAAATAAATATAAATATATTTTATTTTTAATATAAATTATAATTTAATTATGTATAAATATAATTTTTTATTAAACTAAAATATTAAATAATATATTTATTAATATAAATTAAATTAAATAAATAATTAAATATATTTATTTATATATCTCGATAAAAGTTGAGTAGAACACTCCAAACTCAATCATGACTTAACTTAAATTATTTAAAAAAATAAAACTTTAATCTAATTTTTATTTAAAAAATCGTATGATCATGACAAATTAATACTCATTGGATGTAGATTATTCTATCATTCCTACATTCATTGTCTTTTTCTTTATAAAATTTATCTAATAAATAAAATTTTAAAAAACAAAGAAAATGACAAAAAAAATAAAATAGGATGATACGCAAATTTATTAAATTATAGTATTAAATAATATGTTAAATAATACATACATAAATATAGAATTAAATAAATAAATAAATATATTTTTGTATATACCAAGATCGAGAAATAACATCCAAAACTTTACTCTTATCCGAGTTTTATTTAAAAAAAAAAAAAAACTCAACTCAAATTATTACGAATTAAAAGAAAGTACGTCAATTGAATTAGGGCAAATTAAAACTCATTATACATGAGTTATTTTATCATTTCTATTTTAATTGATTCCTTTTATTATAAAATTTATCTAATAAAAAATAAAAATAAAAAATTTAAAATACAATAATACAAAAAAATAAAAAACTTTACAAAAAATGAAAAAAATGAAGGATGTGCCGCATGGACGCCGAAAATGGGATAAAAAAACCCTTAAATCTTTTTTCAACCCAACCTCATTTTAAAATAAAAAACTCAACCCAATTTTGAATTTTTAAGAAACACACCTATGTTGGTTTATTATGAATCAAAGCAAATCAGATATAAATTATTTTATCATCCTATCTTTATTATTTTTTTAAAAAAGTTATCTAATAAAAATATAAAATTAAAATTAAAAATTAAAAAAATAAAGAATGAAAGAAAGATGAGATGCCACATAAACACCTTTTACTTATCATTTTTTACAAAATTAAATATACAAATAATTTATAATTTATTTATATAAAAATGATCTTGATTGAAAAAAATCAATTGATTGTTATTTTTAAATATTTTTAATTACTATTTTTATTCTAATGTTTTAATGTATAAATCTATATTTATGTAACGTATAAGATTATTTGCATACCAAGGTCATTGGTTGAAACTTGGCAAATCAATCAATGTCTTATTTGGAAATAAATTTTTATTCATTAATTTTATACTAAAAATTTTATATTTGTTTTATATTTATAATTAACTTAAGTGAGATTTTGTTGGTAAATAGTAGATATTTAGAGTGTATTTCAATGGGTGATGAGATTGGCTCTAATAAGATTAATGATTAATTTAAATCTAATTGAATCATCAGTTAGGTGCAGTTGGGATTTTTTATTTGAATATTTTGTAAGTGCACAGGCTATACAAGTAATAATAAATGCTAATAAAGTTTAGATGTCAATTTCTCGAGAATTAATTAAAAATATTTTTAGCATAACTACCTATTATCATTGTCATAACATATAGATCTATAGACTTATCATTAAATATAGATTTTAAGGAGTTGTCATAAATCTTTTTTGTTTAAGTATAATCGGCTACCTACCTGAATCTATCACATTTTAAAGAGGAGTTTCAAACTTAACTTAAGTATTTTTAAATGGTAGATTCTAGTCTACGAAACCGAATTGATTTGGAAGTACGATTATGCAAGAAAAAAGTTAAAGTACCCTCATAACATCCACTCAAAGGATAGAATCAGTTTGATTTCAAGTTATTTAAGTCTTAAAATATTTTTATGATTTTATCAAATAATTTAATTATTAAAAATTGATCCTAAAATTACTCTAATAGTTTGATAATGCTTTAAGATAATTTTTTCACCTCAAAGGTATTCATGAAAATTAGTTGCCCACTCTAAAGAGACTTTGTCGTCAGATTCATTTAAAAACTATTCATGATAACCAATTAAAATCTAGTTTTTATAAAGAAATGATTTATTTTTAAAAATATTTTTCAATATGTTACTAAGATTTTCTGTTAAGAATTATCCTCCAATATGTTGATAGGATTTTAAAAAGTATTTTTTTTAAAGAAAATTTATTAAGTCATCCAATAGTTTGAAAAATTTTAATTCAAGATTTAAATCCTTCAATAGTTTGGCATGATTGAAAAATTTTTTTTTAAACCCTTTTTTAAATTTGAAGAAAACAATCAATTAAAATAAGCAAAAATTATCATGCAAAATAATATCATGCAATAATATAATATATCATGCAATCATAATGTAATCATGCAAAAATATAATATTAATAATCATGCAAACTATAATCATACAAAAAATAATTAATATATTAAAAATCATGCAAATAATAAATAATAATCATGCAATTAATTGTGCAAGCAAACTGAATTCATGCAAATAAATTGTAAAATATTATCAATTTTTATCATAATTAGGTGACAATTAAATGATAAATAACAAAAATAAAATAGAAAATAAGGAAAAAATGACAATAATATCAAAATCAGAAATAAAAATAGAAAGAAAAAAGGAAAGCCAATATCCACGATCGGGTTGGGTTTGAAGTGCGAGTTAACAAGCGGATCATTGAGTTCACATGAGGTCAAAACTTTTCTAAAATGACAAAGTTTCACTCACATATAAAAGCAATATATATATATATATATAGTTTTTTTTAGAATGCCTTATCCATTTCTCTCTCTAGTTCAATCTTTCTTTGACTTCTCTCTAGAAGTCTTACTAGAAAATCCAACCAGCCAAAGTAATCCTAAATTTTGATGTTGAGAAATTCAACCGGTCTTCAAAATTTTCAAAATTTTCTAGAAAAACCAATATACCTAGACACCAGCTATTGTTGACCACCTTGGATTCAATCAAAAAA